GCTCTTCCCTCGCGTATAATTAATCAAAATTGACACTTCAGTTGTTCTCCAGAAACGATGAACAACTAAAGGCTTCAGAATTGATATCTGAAATGCTCAAACTAAAAGCCGGTGGAACAGAACTGAGAGTACCATCACTTGCAGTGTTCAATTTGCGAATCGCTGTCGTTCGATTCGGTTTGAGGCGAGACTAACGAAATACACTGTGACGTCAAAATTGCGTCACAGTGTCACCAAACCGAAAACTTTTTGTCGGTTAATTCAATTCAATTATCGGAATGCAAGAGCTTATATCTCACAAACTGTAAAAAATATCGAAAAACAAATGACGAATTCGTGATCAGCAGGCTCAACTCCTTTAGATTGGCCAATAAAATGCTAGTGCAAAATTTGGCTGGAGAGGCCCTTTAATGACATAATTTTATCTGCAGAAACTGGAAACGACAGTAATCAAGATTTTCGATGTAGCCGGCTTTAAATTACACAAATGACATTCGAATATACCAGAATTGGAAAGTAATAATACAGAGAATTCAAAGCAGAGTTTTGCAAAACAATAGTTACGGTTGAAGACAGACGAAAACAAAGCTTCTAGGTCTATCTTGGAACAAGGTAGATGATACAATTGGATTGACCTTTCCGGAAGAACAGATCACAGTTATATCTAAGAAGAGACTGCTAAAAAGTCTTGCCTCAATATACGATCCTCTGGGAATAATCTCGCAAGTAATTCCAGGGGGTAAGATCATATAAGGAGATGTTTGTGAAGCAAAGCTGCCATGGCATGAGGAGCTACCAAGAGAATTATCGGAAAATTGGAACAAAAGGACAAGAACACTACCAGAGAAAGTAGAGATCCTCAGAAGTATATCAAAATATGAAGAAAAAGTGGAAACATCGATCTACATGCTTTTGGTGACTCAATTGGAATTGGCACAGCAGGTTTCAGGTTAAGGTTTACAATCAACCCCAAGCAGGGATGTTACCGAAAGACCGCACTGAAGGATCAAGACCGTTCAAAATCGTCGGGGTGGATTTTGCAGGCCCCTAAACTTACAAAGTTAAAGTAAAGACGGAAGGAAAAATCATATTTTGCACTGTGCGCATGCAGTTTAATTAGAGCTATATACATAACTGTTCTTACAGACCTGACAACTTTATGATTTGCTTGAAAGAATTCATTGCAAGAAGAGGGCATCCTAGCAAGATCTATCCTGACAATGCGAAAACATTCATAGCTGCTTCAAGAAAGATAAAGAAGATAATGATAGTTGAAGAAGTTCACCACATATTGATAATCGTGTTGTTTCGAGTGGCGCTTTAAGTATATATTCCACTCTTCTCTATTTTATCATGCAAAATTCATTCTCTGGCCAATTATAAAACGCATGTGTACTCCACTCCCGTGAACTTTGCTCCCATCAGAGAACTTTCACCCTCGTAAACTTTGGGGGGGGGGGGGTTCACCACTTCCTTTTGACGATGTTCATTTTCTGGAGCACAGAGTGAATAGATTATTCCTCCACATGGCAAAAGTTGTCACGGCAAGTAACTAGAGAAAAATTCCTAAACTTTGAGAGAAGAAATTGGTAGAAAAAAGAATAAGAGACTATTCGAACAAACTAGAAACTCATGGCGGTGACAGTGTTGGAATCGAAAAGGGTCAAGCCATGGCATCTTTGCTTTGGCGAGTTTCAGAACTCCACAAAACCCGACATAGCCAGTAGCCGTGTTGCCAGGTAGGCCTCAAGATAAATCATGTTGAAACCATTTTTTTCAGTAATGATAGCCACAATACCATTCAGCCTAGTGGTGTAGTGCTACCAAAATAACAAGAGGGGCTCCTGTACAAAATTTTGCAAAAAGAATAGCAAAAGTAGAAATTCGCCAATTTTCTCATTAACAAGGTGGTTTAACCCCCCTAAGCTCCCTAGCATAACACCCCTGAGTCAGGCCCAAAGCATGTCCTTCTACATAAAAAGGTTCTGTTCACATTCGAATGGGTTTGGTAATTTCTAGCCTAAAACTGAGGTTTATTTATAAAGAAGGTCTTTGCGAATCAGCGATCTTAAATTTATAATCGGCAAATAATAGACAACCTTTAATCAAGATAAAACGGAAGAACTATAATAGTATTTATCTTGGTTAACTTAATTGGAGTAATACCAAATTTGCTGGAAGTTCAGAGCTTCCAGTAAAGCATAGTAAAAGTAATGGCGTATAATGCTGAAAACTAATTAGGCCTAATTACAAGCAAAAAGAATACAACGAGGCGACAATATACGGTTGTATTGTGCATCATTCACATGATATCAACAGATCAAAGAAGCCCATTGTACAGAAACAATGTTGTGCACAAGACAATGCACGAGTGTTAACAGATTATGATAGAGCACATATAGCCAAGATAATGGTAGAGCACCAGAGAGCTATGATGAATTTACATCTATCTATTTTGATATATAACAAATGGTTTACCTTTATCGTCAAAGAAGGAGAATCTCGCGCGGTCTTCATCAGTACATCCATTGCTATGTAGGATAAGCAAATTTCCATTGGCAGGATATAAAGCTCCATTCAAAGGATGTATACAATTAGTTGGTCCATGCTCAAGTAGAGAGAACTGGTTGAGTTTGTAAATTGTTTCTGGAGATTGACAGTCGTCAGTCAGTCGTATATATGAACTTGAGAAAATAACACATTTGCCGGTTTCAACGTGCCTCAAATGGTAATTATTCACATACTCAAAGCGATCGCATGCAAATGGATTCATCAGTTTGATCAAGTTCTCTGCAGAGTTATAAACCCAACATAGTCCACCAAAGTGCCGGATGATATAGTAGGCTTTCTTTCTGAAGTAGAATTTGTTGGTGTTTCCATCGCAGCCTGACTTCAGGACAATTGCAGTATTATTTGCAGGATCAGCATCTCTATTTTCTGGATGCAAACATTTGTTAGAGAGAAGATGTCGAATCACTCGATTGCTTTCATCGTATTGAAACAAACTGTTTGTACCACTGCATTGGCTTGACAAGGACAAGAAGCTTCCATCGCTTGTGGCATTGATATTGATGCATTTCTTTGTTGGTATATGGATGAGTCTTGCTCCTCCCTGCCATTGGAACTTTTCTCGGCAAAGTCGACCGTAAACCAGGACCTGACGGACCTCATCGTACTCTAAGCACTTTCCATCAAAATGGCGAATGTAATAGGTCTTTGACACTCCAAAGTTTGTGCCTACAACAAGCTTATTTTGTGCGAAAATAAAGAACACAAGGAATAAGAAAAAACGTTCCATATCCACGGTCACTCTTTGATTAAGATACGAACAATGTGCATTGCAGCTTTATAGTTGTGTCATGACATATTGAAGCACCCCTTTTAAATGTTTCTATTCGCTTGTAAAGCAAATAAAAGACAGGTGGTTTATTTAGCCTACACTGTATTACATAGACCTTAATCGATACATTAAAACCAATACAATGTTGATACCCTAGCAACGTCAACTGTGCCTGTTCTGTATGTTTATGAAAAACTCATAAGGTGTCATTGTATTTAAGCCTTTTTTTAAACGAAGACACTCTTTCATTTGATGCTAGGACGTATAAACCTTAGCTTTCATAATGTTAACAACAAGGTTTTGTAGCCACGAAAAAGTCACATCATTGCAAGATGTAGTAGATTTTGGTGTGATTTTAAGTTTGATAATTTATAGTTGCTCAACCAGTTCTCAACAGAAAAACATGTGGCTTGAAATTAGGAAAGCAAATCTAAGACAATCATATCCGCTTTTAAAGAATAATGTTTTCGCAGGTCCATGCTTTGTCAAAAAAACTTTATAAATTTGATCGATTTCTCATTTCTTACAAACTTTGGACGTATTCTAGATAGCAAACATGACCTGTGCAAAGTTCATTGGCTTCTGCAGCAAATGGCAATTTCATATTGTATATCAGTCAATTGCTGTCGACATCAGTCATACCTTTGGGTTTTTTTTATGATCACTTCTGCTAAACAATTAACAATGAATATTTTGATTCTGCTACGCAAAGAGCAATCTAAATTTATTCAAATTCCGAATGTTGATTGTGCTGAAATGCAAATAGGCAGTCTCCCCTGTCCTTAGGCAAAAAAAAGCTAAAAGTAAGGCCCGTATAATTGCTTTTGTAAAAAATTATAAAATCATTTTGATAGTTTGATTCTAGTATTATATGAATCATAAGGTATGCAACTTATTTCGGTAATTATGGCAATTATCAAATACAACCTTGGTAGTTATTTTCAGACGAAAAACATTTACCTAGTTAAAAACCTTCTTTGAGCTGTGTTTGACTTATAATTAAAAATACAGTAGATGATGAGGTTTGTTCACGGGCGGAATAAGTTTCTATCATTCTCATGGTTTAAGGTAATCAAGTAAATTGTGAGATTGAAAAATATTTATAAAAAACGATATTCTATGCGAATGTTTTGAGTTTGCTGGGAATATGCTCTTTTTGACAAAGGGATATCAATCAAAGATCGCCAGTTCAGAGTTAGAAAACTTTTCATATTTATCTTTGTCGATGCCTCATTTTCTCTCTTAAAGTTGATTAAAAATTCATCTTTATAAGGTTTTTTTTAATATAATCTCAGGAAAAGGCTACAAAGAAATATTAGTCCCAGAGAATCAAATTAAGTCCTATAGAAATGAGCTGTGTCT